ATAAAGTCTCCCGTGGCAAATGACGGTGGCTAGGAGTTGTTCATTATATTGTAAGAATCTAGGTAGAGAGAACTGCCGCATACTTACTCTGGGCAAACCATACCACGTGTTTCCAAACTGAGTCTAGTACTAGCTTATAGTTGGTTATCATCAAATTATGCAGGAAGAACTTAAAAGCAACAACTAAATTTCTGTAAGTACTGAAACTATAAACCTTACACACAAAAGCAACACCTTTGTAAAATACAGAAACCAAATATAAGTGGTATTAACCATTCACTTTTTAAGATTATTTAAGCTGCTGTTCCCCTCTACTAAGATAAGTGATCAAAACAAACTTGACTTTTAAAAAATGATTAATGTTGTTCATCTGTCTCCCTCTATAAAACTGGTATCTAGAAATTTTGTATCTAGTAATAAAAATGCAACCAGTATCAGTTTCTAGATTTAGAATAGTTCTTATAACCACGTAACAGAATTTTTCTGTCATTAGCATTTAGTCCTTATCTATCTGATTAAGCTAACATGTAAATAAGCCTATAAATTATATAGACAGGGAAAAGAAATAAGAGTTTATGTAGCAATCAATGGCCTTGAATGCTAAATCAATAGTTTTTCTAATTGCAAAGAATACTGTTATTCTTACGTTAACGCTGATTTTCCAGACATCACAGGGAAATGTAGCTGCCACTATAAAATTAATTATAACTGGAAACCTCACACTTTATATTTTCTCTCTTCAGTATCTGGGTTATTTCCATAAGAAGACAATTATACCCAATTTAACAGAAGTACTTAAGATCAATAGTATTATGAATAATTCAAGGAGTTCAAATTACTTTCTTGAAAATTCCTTCCTTTGTTGATTTATTATAATACAGTATTTTATGCAAATAATGCATATAATTTTTTTTGCAAACACTGCAATGCCCCCCATGTTATCTTCATAAGCATGCTATACCAACTTTTTTTTTTACATATTGCTCACTTCAATTTTTTTTCCTGTCCAACAGATTTAATGTTACCACGATAAAACTGATCTCATGGAAATTTTCATTTAAGGTAGGTATTTCCTAACACCTATTGCCGTCGAGTTGATTTCGACTCACAGTGACCATACAGGACACAGTAGAAAAAGAGATGAATAAGGAAGACTGAAGAAGAACCGCTGCCTTTGAATCGTGGTGTTGGCGAAGAATATTGAATATACCATGGACTGCCAAAAGAAGAAACAAATCTGTCTTGGAAAAAATACGACCAGAATGCTCCTTAGAAGCAAGGATGGTGACACTGCGTCTCACATAATTTGGACATGTTGTCAGGAGGGATCAGTCCCTGAAGAAGGACATCATGCTTGGCAGAGGGTCAGTGAAAAAGAGGACAACCCTCAACAAGATGGACTGACACAGTGGCTGCAACAATGGGCTCAAGCATTACGATTGTGAGGATGGTGCAGGACTGGGCAGTGCTTCGTTCTGTTGCACATAAAGTCACTATGAGTTGGAACCAACTCAACGGCACCTCATAACATTTTCCTAAACCAAGTGCAGCCAGCTAATGATGGAAATGGGACGCCATGCTGAAACCAAACAGTATGAATGCACAAAGAGCTAGAAATTAGTAAGAAAAGATCCTAGGCCTAAAACTATAGGAACAAGATGTTTTTTATATTTTATTGCTTTCATAAATCTTACACTGAAAGATAATTTTTTTCATAATCAGTGTCTTTGAAATCAACAAATAAAAGTCACCAGAAGAAATTGTGTTTTCATCTTCAAATAGGCCATTTTAGTTTATTAATTCATTATCATCATCATCCAACTTCCGGAAACCTTCGAAGTCCAATCTCTCATCACTATCATCATTGAAATATCTAATAGCTTCCTATAGGTGCTCTTCTGTTTTGTTCTGCAGTTTTTCTCTTAAAAATCACCACTGACTTTAATTTCACCCCACTCACAGTGCAACCAAGGACTACAGTGAAGCAAGCCCTCTCATGCCCAGTGGTTGTTATGGCTACAGTTTTCATACCTGAAACAGCCACATTCCTGGCAGCTGGAATATCAAAAAACATCGGAATCTCATCCATATTACCATATTTTTATGCAAATTAAATGCACCTTCGACCTCTGTCTGCCACTGCACTCCTCCCCTCCACTCCCCCTGAGGTATTTTCATAAGCGTCACTGTGCCAAATCTTTTCACGGTGCTGTAAAAGAAATTAGCATAGCACACTTACAAAAATACTTCCGTGGGAGGCGAGGGCATGGAGGGGAGGACATGGTTGGCAAACAAACATACAAAGAGTGTATTATTTGCATAAAAATACGGTAATTATGTCCACTGCAGAGATACTGAATTCAGAGATTTCTTTGGTGACACATTTGCATAAGTTGACCATTTTTTGCTCCCAGTCATCTGGAAGTTGCTGGCCTATGGTAGTTCTCATTCTCACAGAAAGGCCAATCCTTTTCATGAATTTAGAAATCCAGGTGAAACTCGCCTTGAAATCTGGGATTCCTCTTTCATTTGCCAGAAGCTTCGCTTTCATCTGAATTGTGACAATACAGACAACTTGATTTTGTTCCCTTTGAGACATAATCCACTCTTTCAAGTTATTCTCCAACTCAGGCCATTTCGTTTTGGGCCCATGAGGTCTGCATTTTCACGGATTCATTTTCTCCAGCTCCTTTTTCTCTTCTATTAGTGAATGGACGAGTCTCCAACCTCAAACTCTCACTGCCACTCTGTTGCTTGCTTCTTCTGCCCTCGCAGTGTCTCTCAGTTTGAATTTGGCGGTGCAGGACTTGTGTTTAATTCCAGCCATGATCCTAAAGAGTTGTAAGATTTAGATTTATAAACTGAAAAAATGTGCACAATATAATCGATAACTGGCCAGTTCTAGCAAAGAGATCAGAAAATTCAAATGTGAGGTGTACAAGAAGTATAAGGGTCTTTTTATATGACAAGCATATGACTAAGATGACTTATGATCATTGACCAAAGACATTGGCGCTAATAAGACAGAAGTACACTATGAAATAAGCAGACTTAACACAGCTTAATGGTTTCACTTAAGACGATCTGGTAAGGTTTTCTCATTCAGCTGTGGAACGAAGAGCTATCGTGTATCAGTTTTGCTTTGTTTACTCCTCCAATTAAAAGCCAGAGTTGGAAGACAACTGTGATAATTATGTCACTGCAGACTGAATCAAGACTCTTATTGACAGCTACTCGATATCGTTTATGCCAGGGTAGGCTTCACTTTGTTTACGCTTCCAATTGATAGCATGTGATTTATGGACACGCTTCAGTAGGTTCAAGCTTCAGATTAATGACTCAAAAGTGACGGGGATATAATTAGCAACTTAAATTAATAGAAACAAACCCACAGTTTCAACTGTTTATTTTCCGATTACCAGGGTACTACCAAACTCAATCCATGAGTTCTTGACCATGGCTTACAGTTTTATTACACAAATATGATCAAAAGTGACATTTTTGGGCTACTGAACGAGGCTGAAATTCACTTCTGGAAATGTCATGAGATACGCGAGGCACATACATGGGCACACTATGCCAGACTTGTTTCATAATTTTGTTGTTTCCGTGCGTGATATGTGTGTGCACGTTATTTACATGGGCACGCTATTTGTGGGGAAAAAAAAAAAAAATACGGTAATTGAAAGCCTATTATCAAAAATATCACCAGGTTACTTTTCAAGGCCTAAGCATGCCAGTTAAAAGCTTAGGAAACTACACTTTTTCTTTAGAGTTTACTAATTGCTAACATGTAAATTTATATTGTATTTTAATTTTTTCTTAAAAAACTAGAAAACTTCTGAAGGCTAAATGTTATTTTAAGAGAAAGGGCTAACTGTTTTAAAGGCTAACCACTGTAAAATCAGGGTTTTAGTCTATGTAATTGTATTATTTAAGCATATGATTTAATAATGTATGGTATCCAGCACTGCTTAATAAATCAAATTCTAGTGGAATTCTCGGTATGCCTCTTACAGTCATGATTCATTGTTTCTTAGTCATAGTCAAAATATTCTCTAAGGATAAGAGATGGGCAGTTATTATTCCCATGGGACAAACGGGAAAACAGATATACAAGGTATTGAAATGAACTGCTAACAAAATCATATTGGTGAGTAGAGGTCTTGTGACTGGAATGATTTCCTGACCGTGGGCTCGACCTTTTTAACTGTCTCTTTGTCTCTTGATATCACTTATTATAAAGCATTCTAAATAAATTTGGCAAATTTCAGAACAGAATAAAGATGTGCTTGCTCTTTTGTGACAGGGCAAAACCTGTGATCACTGTAGTGGTACTATGAGGTTTGCTTTTTCTTTTTTAAAAAACACAATATTGGAAAACAATTATATCTGTTTGAACAAATTCGTTGTAAGCAGGTTTCAGCTCTTTAGTTAACAAGCCAGGGATGAATGCTGAAACTGTAGATGTGAAGTGGAGGTGGGAGGAAAACAATGATCCTAGACTAAGACAGATTAGAAAGAAAGGTCTGGTGATCTACTTCCAAAAATCAGCCAATGAAATCCCTATGGATCACAATGGTCCGATTCGCAACTGATCATGGGGATAGCACAGGACCAGACAACATTTTGTTCCGCATTTTATGGGGTTGTTGTGAATTGAGGGCAGCTCTGAATGCTAAATCAGTAACAACAACTGCTTCCCTATATATACAACCTATTACAAATGCTAGCCATGATTTATCAGCTCCTCTGCACATATTCCATCCAAACTCTTAATTCAGTTATATTATGAAATATGGATAACTCTTCCACATAAAAAGAATATACAGAAAATATTGGTTCGCAACCATAGTTTGTCATATAAATGACAAAATTTAAGTTATAATGTTATACCATTTTTTTCCTACTTCACAAATCCTCCTAAAACAAAAGTTTTTTTTCAATGTACATCTGTGCTACAAAATCACGTTTATATTCAAGGACTTCAAAACACTCACCCTAGAGCTTGGAAGGAAGGAATCGAAAGTGCCCAGTGCATTGATAAGAACAGCAGTCTGGAGGCAGACTCCCCAATGTAGTGCACATTCAGGTACTCAGGCATAGGAGAAGGCATGGTGAGCTAGTATGAACAGGGATTTTGGTAAATTATCTTATGACTGAAATTTCTAAATTATCACTTCTCTGAAAAAGTTAAATGTAAACATAACACATCAAATATGAGTTTTTCTAATATATTCAGCAAAAAAAAAAAAAAAAAAAAAACTGGAAACAATCCAAGTCACTGGATTTTACAATAAGGCTCAGAATAAACTAACAGACCACAGTTTCTAACAAATTAACAGTCAGACAAGCACAATCCCACTTAATAAACACCAACTATGATACTCTCTGGTTGTGTTTTCATAAGTTACTTTCTGCCTTGGTCTAACAACGTGGTTTTCTCCTTCCTTCCTAACTTCCCTTCCTTTATTAAGGAGCAATCCCCTATGATTAATGTTGCTTTAATTTAGGCTACAGGGTTCACAAATCAAATGCTTACAGAGTCAGGAGAGTAATACAGGAAGCAGGTGCCAACTGAGGAGTACGTGTTCCCAGCTAATGGGGACACTGTGAATTAAATTCAGCACACTGAAAACATGAGAATTTGGGCTCAATACTGCCAGCTCTTTCAATTTTTTAACAGTTATTTCTGTGTAAACCTTCCTATCTAAAAAGACTGGTATTGATTCATAAATGGTTTTTAAAACAACCTACAGATAAAAACGTGTATGTGGTCATACCACTCACAAGCTGTCAGTTTGTACTGCTGAACTTATGTAGTTATTTTAAATGTGTGACCACTGTTGAAAATATTTTATAACAAAATCCTTCTAAAAGCATTTTTGAAAATCTGTTCATTGCTATAAATAAAATGTAATGTCACACATAAGAAATATTTTTTCCTACTTTAAAATTATGGAAGCAATCAATAATATCAAGTGTAAATGAGGATATAGAAAGAAGAGTGCTCACATACTACTGAGGGTGGGTAAACTGGAGTGCAGTTTGGCAGGATCTACCAAAATTTCAAAAATGAGTATATTCTATAGCCTAATAAAGCCATCTCTAAATATCTATTCCAGAAAAATACTTGTACACATGCACACAGGGCAAGTATAGGGTGTTCACGGTTGTGCTACTACTTACTACCTGTGAAATTAAATACTGGCAACAACCCAAATTTCCATCACTAGGGAAAATAATAATCCATGCTGTAGAATAGAATATTCTTGTAGGCACTGAAACTGATAAAACTGACATGTAATGGCATAGAAGAAACATCTCACAGACATCTAATTAGAAAAAATTGCAGGATAATATGAAGATGATCTAATCTATGTTAAAAAGGACAGAAGGAGGCACACCACACAGCTAAACAGTGGCTACCTGTGAGTGGGATAGGTAGAGTTTTCATATTTTGTTCTACATATTTATGCATTGCTTGAATCTTTGTCACTAAAGAACATTTTCATATACTACTTGTGTATAAGACTAAAAATAATCTTTAAAGAATGATAAAGGAGTCACTTTCAGAAAGGTCTATACTAACCATTCTTTAAAATAATGGATTTTTTCAACTACATAATATAATGGATTTTTTTTTCAACTAGAAAAAAATTCCATTAGCAAAAACAAATCATTAAAATACCTGTGAAAATGGAGAATACAGATGGTGTGACCACAAAAAAAAAAAGCGAACCCGATGCCGTTGAGTCGATTCCTACTCATAGTGCAACCCTTTAGGACGGAGTAGAACTGCCCCATAGGGTTTCCAAGGCTATATGTAATCTTTACAGGAGCAGACTGACATCCTTCTCCCGTGGAGTGGCTGGTGGGTTTGAACTGCCAACCTTTCAGTTAGCAGCTACCCACTGCACTGCTAACTACCACTATACAGTCATTATTACACCAATTGTTTGGTATGGTCCTTTCCTTCCACTCTTTTTTTTTTTTTTTTTTTAAATAGGCACTGAATATCTGTAAACAGTTCTTAGAAAAGGGAGACATATTAATAAATTAACTTGATTTCATCCCATTTCTCGGTAACAAATATTTAATAAGAAACTTTACTTAGAAGGATATAATTAGATGGCTGAAGGTTCTATTTACATGTCAATAATACTTTTATTCAGGAGTCATATTTGTAAACTGCTAAAAAAAATAAATTAGAATAAAGTTTGAAAACCACATAGCTTTTCTGATATCCTATCGCATCTAGCTTTTAAAAATGGGATTCTACCTGTATATCTAAAAATACACAATGAATGGTTCTTGTAATGACACTCTTGATTTTAGTAATACTGACTAAAGTAGTTAATAGTTCATACAGAACAGATAAAGTCTATGAAATTAAAAGTATTTTATGTGGATGCGCCTATATGTATTTTTCTGGTGAATGACTATATAGCTTTCATCAGATTCTCAAAGGTGTCCATGATGTAAATAGATTAAAAGGTTTTCATCAAAATGATATAAAAGTTCTCTAGAAATGTTAGATAAAAAGGCAAAAAATATTAACTGCTTTTGTTTGATATTATCCACAAGTGGTTTACCTATTTATAAATGATGCCAATAATAAAACAGGGCAATTAACAGCTGAAATTCCACGTATGGGAAGAAAAAAATTCAAATGTTTGAGAAATTTAGGGGTGAAACAGTAAACTAAAATATAATTATTAAAGACATTTCTTAAGGGAACCATTGGCAAGCAAATACTAAGCATTTTATACATAATTATTAGGATGCAACTGTTTCTACACATAAGTACATAAAAAACAGATTGGGAACTATCCTACCTTGTTAGAATTGCCCAAGGTGAGTGGGGAAAAGAGCCTGAAAAATTAGGGGAATTACCAAAGATTACTAGTTTTAAGGGAAGGGGTAAGTAGGATGAAAAAAACAACAAAGAATATCCTTTACTAAATAGTTTCAAGTTATCTTTAAACAAAAAATACTTGTAATATGTAAAAACTAGATATAAGGGCTAAAATAAACAGATGTACCTTGGTTTATACAACAATGGTGGTAACTTGAAAACTTTCTGCTTCTTTATCATAAAATTGAAATCCTCTGCAACATAAACTAAGGGAATTCATTATTTAAAAAAACTACTGTGCCGTATTATTTCATAAACAGAGGATATGTCCTGTTATTATCTGTTTTACATACTTAATTTTCTTAAAGCAAGGAGTCAGAAAGTTGATGCTGACTGAAGATACAATAATGCATTCAAAAGTCTTTTAGTGGAGTGACATAATTAATTTTTAACAAATATCACTCTGGCACCAGCATGGGGGACAAGATGAAGAAAAGAGACCGGAAGCAAAGATATTACTAAAACAGTTTAAATGAGAAATAAAAAAGGTCTGAAACCTAGTAATGGAAATGGAGAGGAAGAGAAAAATGCAAGTGATAGAAGGGCTAGGATTCAACTATAGAATGGAGGGGAGTGAGGTACAAAGAGATTAAGAATGACTTCCAAACTGCCAACATGGTTGACTAGAAAGATTTTAATTCCAATACTGAGATAATAAACGTAAGAGAAAAACATCTTACTTTTGTCTCATATACATATTTCTAAAATGTGAATACTATCTACCTTGATTATTCTTACAAGGCAATTTGATTATTCTTATAAGGCAATTGTAAGAAACAAGAGAGATAAGATATATGAAATTATACCAAAAAGTCTATAAAGTTGAACAAAAATGTTAAATATTACTATTGTCCTAGATTCTTCAGAGTCAAAATGCAAGCTTCATTATTAGACTATTTATCCTTACTATCTGGATTACTTTGAACAAGATACTGAAAACCTCCAAGTCTCTTTCCTTATCCACAAAATGAGAATAAAAATCCTAACCTCCTCAATAGATTGTAGTGAGGCTAAAATGAAAGCATGTATCAGAAAGTATACCGCAAACTACACTGTACCATAAAAATGCAAGAGAGGAACAAAACGCTATTTAGCTCAGTAATTAAGAGAAAACTGAATTATTTAATTACAGATGTCATATCTTGGAATTCATGACCAGAATTCTCACTAAGAGAACTAACCGTGAAAGTACTGGGTTCTAGGAAATCAGAGAAATCACTAAAAAGCAAAATCTTGACTTCACAGAGCTTATAAACTAGAATCAGAGAAAGGAGCTGTCCTTTTCAGAAGAGCAAGAAACTTTATAGCTCTGATTCTGAGGATACTCAGAGTACATTAGGTCAAAGATGAAATGGAAAAAAAGCCAATTCCAGAAAGGGGGGGGGGATTGTTTTAATTCACCTTTCCAAAACACATACTTGAAAGAATCAATGATTCTGAGGACCATATCAACAATGAAAAAAAGGTGGACTACTACTACTTTCTATAGAAGTACTCTGTCCTTTTTCCTTGCAATGGGTCCTTCTTCTATAGCCATCCATTCTATAATACATCCTTTCTCCCCACTTAAATCCAAAGGCAGAAAATAAAACTGGGAAAACAAAAGAAAATCTTTTATTTAGAGTAAGAAAGAGTAAAGCAAAAAGTCAGTATTGCCTCGCTCCACCCTTGTCCATAGTTTTGTACCATTATTTTTTAGGATGACATTAATTATTCTTATTGTCTTTTCTAACATCACTCATTAAATTTTTTCTTATATGGTGCAAATAAAACATTTCTAATCTTTTCCTTATGAGTTATCTTTGGTAAAGTTTTATATAAAGATTGGTTTCATTGATATGTTTTATTAACTATACCAAATGACGGCAACTATTATTTAAGTCAGTGTGCGTTTTCTCTGTGGCTATTTTTTACCAAGTCAAATTTTGGCCAATGTTAGATCTATTTTGTGTTCATCATTTCTACCAGTAAGACACATATGCATTTGATGCTGTGCATATTTTCACAAAATATGCGTGAAAATTTATAATCTATAGTAAAATTATGAGCAATTACACTCAGATATTCCAGGACTGCTTTATATTGTCAACTGAAAACTCTAATGTACTTTCAATTACTCTGCATACAATTTGCTAACAGTACTGATAGCTGACAGAGCAAAGATACGGAATGGTTAAACTGAGGGATCAATACGGCAAGGTCTTAATGTAGGCCCTCAAGGGTCAGCACACCTACAACTCTGATCCCAACATTATTTGGATGTCAAATCAACCATTCTCTAGTATTCAATAAGTATTGTTTCCATCAGAAATGAAGGTATCTAGGGGGCAAAAAAAATTACAAACATACCTTCTCTAAAATGGTTAAAAAATACAAAAAGTTAAAAACCAAACGTTGAAGTGTATTAATTTCTACCTTCTTACAATAATGCTGAGAACTAGATAATTACAGTGATAAATAATAAATGAGGTTTTTTTGTAGTTATCATAATAAGAGCAAAATATCTTGGTCTTAGACATTGGTTTACAGTAGAGAAGTAGCACTAGGCATTGAACAAAAGCAGTGCATTCAACACATCATGAATGCCAATACTAAAAGTAAAAATAAATAAAAATCTATTTAAATGTTCTAAAAATTAACTTTTATAAACTTAGACCTATTACTTGCTATTATAACTATAATTTATAAACAATGCTTTACTGAAGCATTATTTTATATAGCAAGATGTATATAGTTTGGCTGCTGTCTTGAAATTCTATCAGGGGTATTTCTGACTTTAAAAGGACAATGAATATACTTTCATTTTTGAAAGGAAGACTAAAATCAAACTGGATGATAACACAAAATAAAAATTAAATATACACAGGAAATACCCTGAAAGCTACATGTGAATCGCTGAGAAGTGGCCCCTCTTTTTCGATGTAATTTATGCTTGCGTCTCCAGCAATTAGGTGTACACTTCCTTCCACGCCCTCTGAGCTCTGACAGGCTGTGCTCTCTCCAGGATTCAATGCTTTTGCAAGAGTGTCAAATGCCCTATGAGGAGAAATCAGAAGCTGTGGGTTTGGCTAATCTCTGCAACAAAATAAAAATTCTATACAAAATTATGAAATTAAGATTTAAGCCTAAAAAATGTTTAGAAAATAAAACCTTGGTTTATCATTGAGCACTCTACTTCAGCAATAACTTTGGTTTTCTCCAAAAGCAACAATTTAAACTTCATATGTGTAGTACAGAAATCTATAAAATCATATGAATGTACTGTCAAGGAATTAAAGTCTCTTTTTACAATCTTACATAATTAAGGGGTAGAACGTATGAAAATTATACTTTGGTATGAAAATGTGCTTTAAAAAGTTACACATTTGACCCCGGACACCCTTTTAGCTCAGTAATGAAGTCACTCCTAAGGTTCACCCTTCATCCAAAGACTGGACATGCCCATAAAACAAGGCGAGACTAAGGGGACACATCAGCCCAGGGGCAAGGACTAGACGGCAGGAGGGGATAAGAAAGCTGGAAATAGGGAACTCAAGGTCGAGAAGGGAGAGTGCTGACATGTCGTGGGGTTATTAACCAATGTCATAAAACAATATGTGTACTGTTTAATGAGAAGCTGGTTTGTTCTCTAAACCTTCATCTAAAGTACAATAAAAAAAAAAACTGCCCTATAAAAAAATAAGCTACACATTTGATACTACAGAATATCTGTCTATTTATATTACAGAAGTTATTTAGAAGTACAAGGGTAAGAACTTATGTTGACTTTACCGTATTCTGCACAATACAGAGTTAGACTTTAGTTTTATTTAAAAATTCAAAGAATATTTTAAAATGTGTGGTTACAGAGCAACAGCTAAACTATACAAATTTAAAATTAGGATGGCTAAAAAAGCAAGTAATTTTTCAAAATAGCTCCCCATATTTTTCAGTGAGACATCTTCTAGAGTTTCTTAAAATCTTATGTTCAACAAAGTACTTACTGAGACTCTTAAATGCAGTTTCTGCAACATTTTAAATGAAAAATAGAATGTTGAAAAAGCCAGAAAAATCTGGTTTCTGTATCGTAAGTATCAATATTGAGAGAATGAAAAACAGAATTCTGATACCACTTTCCTGAAAAGTAACTTAAAATTATAGCTGATTCAACTAAGTCTTCTAATTTTCATCACTAGAAATTGGGGGGGAGGGGCAATCAAGATGACTGCGTAGTAAGACAAATAATTCATTCTACATAAACAGAAGTTAAAAAGTTGGTTACCAAAATATCTGAAATATCAGACCCAAATCATCTTCAAAGAGAAAAAAAAATTCCTAAATTTTAAGACTACGTTTCTAACATGCACAATATTCACTTGTCCTTGTTATTTAGAATGTGACTTGTCAAACAACATTTTTACACTGAATGTAGTTTTTCCAGGTAAAACTTATTAGGCCTTAAATTTTCTAAATGTTAATAGAAATAGTTGCTTTCTAAAACTTCTGTAAATAGTATTGACATAAACATATTTTAAGAAATGCTGAAGGACACTTAAGCCAATGGACACTCTGGACCAAAATAGCCATTACCTTGAAACATCACCATTTGTTTGTATTTCTTGATGAAACTCACACAGAGAAGTATCACTGTTGCTTAAGCTTTCAATCATAGATATTTCATTACTATTTTGAGAAATGTCTTTTGTTTTTCCAAGATTCGCTAATGATGTAACCACACTGGCCAATGTACTCAAATCTCCCTGACATGATTCAGCCTTTAAAAAAATGAAAAAGTATTACACTTCTGCCAATTGGTATGAGGAAACTTTTAAACATGAAATATACAATTCTAAATTATGAAATGCCAAAAGAAAAGTACCCCAATTAAGATATATGAAACCTAGAAAGTAAAATCAAAGAGCTCTGAGCTTTTAGAAACTATTTTGGGAAAAGTAAAAGTTTAAAATAATCAGGAACACTTCTTAAGAAATGTTTATGCAAAAGTTACTTTAAATGAAAAACTGCACTTACCAGCTAACCTACCCACATAACCCCTTCCTCTGTAAAAGGATATTACATTAGATGCTCTTTCAAGTTCTCTTTAGCATTAATTTCTGATATTGTTATGATAATTGCCAAAACTTATACAAATTAGAAAGCTGTATAAGCTAAAATAAAATTAACACTAGTGAAAAGGGGATGAAAAGGATGCCAACTTTTACCAGGCACTGTATTAAATGCTGACGACACAAAAATAAAAAAGAAATTGATTAGTTGCCCATTTTTCTCTCCATTCTTTTTCTGATTTGAAAAAAATCTCTTTATATATGTAAAAAATTGTGCTTTTGTTACACATTGCATTATTTCTGTTTATCTTCAGTTTTTATTCTTATTAATGATATGTGTATTTTTTCCCCTGACACCTGTCTGTCAGTTTGTCATACTATGGTGGCCTGCATGTTGCTGTGATGCTAGAAGCTATGCCACTGGTATTTCAATCAAATACCAGCAGGGTCACCCACTGTGGATAAGTTTCAGTGGAGCTTCCAGACTAATTCAGACTAGGAAGAAAGGCCTGATGACTAGGAAGAAAGGCCTAATGATCTACTTCTGAAAACCAGCCGATGAAAACCTTATAAATCACAAAAGAACACTGTCCTGCTGGCTTGCTCTGGACATGTCACCAGGAGATCAACTGCTGGAGGAGAACATCATGTTTGGTGAAGCAAAGGGCCAGTGAGGGTGAGGAAGACCCTGGGTGAAACGAACTGGCACTACAGCCGAAACAATGGATTTGGAACTTGCTGGCAATTGTGAGGATGATGCTTGGGCAACATTTCACTTGTACATTAAGGGTCACCATGAGTTGGAGTTGACTCGATGGCAGCTACCTATAACTATCTTTTTCTACATTAGCTGTAATTCTTTTATAGAAAAGAACTTCTCTGATCTCTTTGACTACCCAGAAATATAGTTTACAGGAAAGGTAGATAAATGCTTCATTTTTCTTCCATTTATTCACCAATTTTCAGAGCTATGAGTTATTACCCTAGCAACTTCTAATGGTGACAAATGAGTTTTTTATGAGAATCATTTTAAATATATAAATTTTTATATATTGGATGGGTTTCAATCCATTAAAGTCATTCTTTTTTTTTTTTTTTAATGATCAAATTATCCCATCTTACCCTAGTGAGAAGCCCTTCAAGTTGGCTTCTATGGGCTATTGATAAGATCCTTTAATGGCATTTTTTTCTACTATGACTTCCCTTTACAGATTTTTAGTGTTCTTAACCCTAATACGTACACATTTCCTTGATGCTTCATTTGTTTTATCAATTCTTTATGTGAAACTGAATTTGGTGAATGATGAGGAGAATGAAACTATTTCTGTGCCCTACACAAATTAATAAGGAGCTCTGGTGGCGCAGTGCTTAACTGCTCAGCTGCTAACTGAAAGGTCAGCAGTTCAAACCCACCAGCGGCTCTAGGGGAGAAAGATGTTGTTTCTGTAAAGATTACAGCCTTGGAAACCCTATGGGGTGGTTCTACTTTGTCCTATAGGGTCGCTATGAATCAGAATTGACTCGACAGCAATGGGTCTGGTTTGGTTTTTGGTGTTGTTGTTGTTGTTAGGTACTGTAGAGTCAGTTCCGACTCATAGCGACCCTATGCACCAGAGAACTAAAGACTGCCCTGTCCTGTGCCATGTTCACAATCGTTATGCTTGAGCCCATTGTTGCAGCCACTGTGTCAGTCCATCTCGCTGAGGGTCTTCCTCTTTTTCACTAATCTTTTACTCTACCAAGCTTGGTTTTTGGTACTCAAATTAATTAATCATCCCAGAATCATTTACTGAATAATCCCATCAGTTACTCAGTGCTTACATAATCACTATTTATATACGTATTTAATTTAATCCTCACAACAACCTTGTGAAATATGAATCACTATGCCCACACCACCCACAAGGAGAATTATCCATGGTCACTCAGGTAGTAAATAGTGGAGCCAGAATGGGAAGTAAGATCTGAGTCTAAAGCCCATGCAATTAACCACTGTTCTGAACAGCCTTCTTATACATGACTAAACATAGTGAGAATTTTTTTTTTATTGTGGTAAACACAGATATAACAAAAACATAACCATTTTAATATTTTTTACATGGATAATTCCAAAAAATAGAATTTTTTAAATTATTTTATTTTTGTTGTTGTTACTGAGAATATATGGCAGAACATGCACCAATCAACAAGTTTCTACACGTACAATTCAGTGACACTGATTACATTCAAGTTGTGCCACCATTCTCATCCTCCTTTTCTGAGTTGTTCCTCCCCCATTAACATAAACCCAATGTCCTCTAAGGTTCCTATCTTTCAAGTTGCTGTTGTCAGTTTGATCCCATAGAGACAGATCTTAAAAGAGCACCATACTCAAGGCAGACATTCTCTACTAGTTAAGCTAAACTATCATTTGTTTTTAAGAAGACTTCAGGGGATCTTTTTGGTTTAAGGCTTAAAGATTATCTCAGGGCAATAGCTTCAGGTGTTCATCAAATCTCCATGACTCCAGAAATGCTACATTCCCAGAAAATTTGAAATTCTGTTCTATATTTTTTCCCCTTTTGATCCTTCTCTTTAAAATCTTTGATCAAAATGTTCAGTAATGGTAGCTGGGCACCATCCAGTTCTTCTGGTCTCCCGGCATTTCCTCCTATTCCCGACTCTCCTTCCTTTGTTGCTCCATGTGAACAGAGACCAACTGTTATAACCTGGTTGGCCGCTTATAAGCTTTTAAGACCCCAGGCAATACACAATGAACTAGGAGATAGAAAAGAACCACTAGACATAATATCAGGCCAACTAACTGGGATGGCCCATGAAACTGTGATCCTAAACCTCCAACCCAAGGAACCAAATCCCATGAGATTTTTGGTTGTACTTAAGCAGCCTCAGCAGCTACTCTTTTTCGTCATCGTTGTAAATATACCCATCACACAACTTTTGCCAATTCAATTTTTTACAGGTATACAATTTATTGACAGCAATAATCAGCTGTGCAATCCTACCCTTAATGCAATTTTTTCATCATCATACAAACTGAAACTCTGTGCTCCATAAGCAATAATCTCCCCTTTTCCCTTCCCTCTCAACCCTGATAACCACTAATAAACTTTGGTCTCTATACATTTGCCTGTTCTTATCTTTTTATATAAGTGAGGTCATACAATATTTGCTCTTTTGTGACTGACTTGTTTCACTCAGGATGTCTTCAAGCTCCATCCATACTGTAGCACATATTAAGACTTCATTTCTCTTACTGGCTGAGTAGTGCTCCATTGCATGTATGTACTACATTTTGTTTATCCATTCATCCGTTCATGGGCATTTAGGTTGTTTCTACCTTTTGGTTATTGTGAAGAGTGCTGCAATGAACACTGGTGTACAAGTTTCTGTTTGAGTCTCTGCTTTCAAGTCTTTTGGGTATATAGCTAAGAGTGAAATTGCCAGGTCATATGGTAGTTCTATTTTTAGTTTTTTGAGGAACCTCCACACTGTTTTCCACAATGGTTGTACCATTTTGCATTGCCACCAGCAATGGATAAGGGTTCTAATTTTCCCCACATCCTCAGCAACATTTGTTATTTTCAGAGTTTTTTATTTTAGCCATCCTAATGGGAGTGAAATGGTATCTCACTGTGGTTTTGTTTTGCTTCTCTGATAGCTAATGACACTGAATATCTTTTCATGTGTTTGGTGGCCATTTGAATGTCCTCTTTGGTGAAATGTCTATTCAAGTCCTTTGCCCCTTTTTTGATTGGGTTATTTTGTTGAGTTGTAGAAGTTTTATATATATTTTAGTTATTAGCTTCTTATTGGATATATGGTTTCCAAAGATATTCTGCCAGTTGGTAGCTTGTCTTTTCATTTTTTTGGTAAAGTCTTTTGATTAACAAAGTTTTTAATTTTTATGAAGTCCCAGTGATTTATTTTGTCTTTTGCTGCTTGTGCTTTTGTAATTATATTAGATAATCCACTGTTAAAAGCTAGGCCTGACAGCCTTGTCCCTGTATTTTCTTCTAAGAATTTTATGGTTTTTGTTTTCACATTTAGGTCTTTAGTTCATTTTGAATCTGATTTTGTATATGGTGTGAGACATGGATGTTGTTTCATCTTTCTGCATGTGGAAATCCAATTTTTCCCATACCATTTATTGAAGAGACTTTTCTTTCCCCATCAAATAGACTCAGCACTCTTGTCAAAAATCAGTTGACAATAGAAGGGTGGGTTTATTTCTGGACTCTCAACTCTATTCCATTTGTGTTATGTGTCTACTGTTTTGATTACTATAGTTATATATTTTAAAATCAGGAAGTATGAGTCCTCCTACTTTGTTCTTCTCTTTAAATGCTGCTTTAGCTATTTGGGGCCTCTTTCCATCCCGTATAAAGTTGAGGATTGGTTCTTCCATTTCTGTAAGGAAGGCTGCTGGAATTTTGATAGGGATTGCACTGCATCTGTCGATTTCTTTGGGTAATATTGACATCTTAACAATATTAAGTCTTCTAATCCATGAACACTGAACTTATTTCCATTTATTTAAGTCTTCTTTAATCTCTTTCACCAGTTTTATAATGTTCATTGTGTGTTGCACGTCCCTGATTAAATTTATCTGTACGTAGTTTATTCTCTTAGATGCTATTGTAATGAAATAGAATTTTCAAGTGTTTTAATTTTCAATTAAATCTTAGAAACTTATATATTTTTAAGGTAATATCTAGACCTAAATTTTTAAAAGAAAAAAAAATATTTTAAATGTATGCTATTGGAAATTGGGTATATAGGGGGAAATGTTCATTTATATGAATCACAGACTATTCTCCTCCATCTAGTAATACATCTATCTAACAAGATTTTCAAGTTTTTGCCACTAAAGATTAGGGCAAAGCAGTAGAGAGGAAGTATCTCATCTTGTGATTTGACAATCTGTCAAAGAAACTTATCACACAAGGTTGTTATAATAACTTAATGAAGACATTTAAGAGTACAGTATCTAGGAAAATAGTAGCTTCTAAGAAAACTTAGTTCCTTAAATTTAATCTTGTTAATTCCCACTGTAAGCTAAGAGACCAAATCTCCTCACTTCATAACTACATGTTAAAGCCCAAACTGTAAGGTAGATACTCTTACTATCCCTATTTTATAAATGAAGAAACTGAGGCACTGAAAGATCAAATAACATGGCCAAGGTTATGCAGCTAGTACGTGGCAGATGAATTTGATTCCAGAGCCCAAGTATTTAGAATGCCTTAAAGTATCAAGCAACAAGTATATAACAAATTTAACAATAAGTAGGATGAATAATTTTATAGGTTAAATAAACCCAGATCACATTACAAGCTGAGAGGAACCCTAGTTACAGGCTCCCTAAAATATGCTTAAATATAAGACTTCATCAGCATTTGTTTCTTGCTTTTATAAGACAGCTTCTGAAAACTATAGAAATATTAAATCTAAATAAATATATCTTTTTCACTTAGAGCTTTGCTCAATAAAGAGCTGTTCCAGTCTTTAACAGAACCCAGATGACATGGATACATATAACATGAGAACTCTTAAAATCCTACTCCTACCCTTGACTCAAGGCAATGTTTTGACTGAGGTAAAGCTAAGAATTTCTCTTTACCTGAAATATTTTAAGTATTTTGGTACTACACAATCTGTAGGGGAATAAAAGGAATAAAAGAATTGTGCAATTATTAAGTTTCTTTTTCTGAGGACTTTTATTTCAAGATAAAAGCAACCTGGAAGACTTTTAAATGGTTGTCACTTTCATGTTGAAGCTACAATTGTCCTAGTGGAATAATGAATATATCTACCAAAGAAGTCTAATTTATGTTTTTTAAAAAAAAGGCAACTTGTAATGGGGACTTTTTAAGACCAAGTCAAATAACCAGATTGATGTAGGAGGTGAAGAAATTGGAAAAACTTTAAGCTTAAAAATTTTAAAGTTTTAAATTAATTGAACTAAACTCACCTTATCTGGTGTCATGAGCACAGGTGATTCAGTTTTTATTCCAGACTGATGAATGTTCACAAACATTCCAGAATCTATCAGTCCTGCTGACCTGTAACAAATAAATACAAAATTTAGCCTTACTTTCCTTGGGAAGAAAAACTAATGACCAGCTACTTAATGTATGTTGTTTGTTTTTTTTACTATACCTTGCAGTTTCACTATCTGTTACAAAAGTTGGAGTTGCAGCTAGTGGGCTTCGAAGGTCTTTTCGGATGTAGATTTTTTCTGTCGAAGCAGCACAGTTGGAAGATTTTTCTCTTGATACTTCAATGGGCTTTCTTTCACACTGAACAGCTAGGAAAATGTATTAAACTATTATATCATAAAGCGAATTTACAAGCAATTATAAATGTAAACTCTAGGTTCACAACGCTGCTAATGGGAGACATGCTTACCATAACTCAACTGCCAAGATTATGATCAAGCTTTACAAATTATTTGCAAAAATCAACTTGACAGCAATGGGTTTGGATTTTTGGCTGCTTTCTCTCCCTGCTCCCATAGGGTAAAAATACAGAGGAACTCTTACTTTTTTAAAAGCTCAGTGTCCAGAAGGATGAAGTTAGGGGTCCTTTACCTACATATACATATATTATATATATATATAAAATCTTAAAAAATGAACTGAAATTTAGACAACTGAAAATAATTCTAATAGCGAGCCATAAAAAGACTAAAGATACACCTTTCATTTTTTAGCCAAGGGCCGGGAGATTTTTGAAAAATAATTTAATTGCTTGGCCTTCATTTATAAAACAAGGTAGTATGTTTCATTTACTTTATAGGAATTTTATTTCAAGATACTTATTAGGAGATAGTATAGCATACTTCTTAAATGTGCATTTTCTGGGTAAAAAAAAAAAAACTGCCAGGATTAAAATCCAAGTTCTGCCACTGATTAGTTGTGTGACCTTGGGCAAGTTACTCTCTCTTTACTCAAAAGTAAAATGAGTAACAGTATGTTCTGTGTAGAATTGCTGTGAGGATAAATAAGTTAATATATAGGCTTAAGAACGTTAAGTATAGTGAGAGTTCAATCAATGTTAGCTATTATTATCTTATTAGTAACAGGTCACTTAAATTTGTATTTAGTTAGTTTAATTTTTTTTTTGTCAAGTTCAAACTACAAATATACGCTTGGCACATATGTGTTTAATAAATACTTACTGAATGAATGAAAAATATATATGTACATATTCTTATATATTTAGTCAGAAAACCGTAAATTAAAAAGTGTACATATTTGACACATTATAATGTGTGAATGTTAATACACTTTTAGCTTGCCTGAATCTTTAAAAGTATTTTCTCCATTAAGGTAATACATACAGTCTTGTTTCATTCCAAACGCAATACATCTCTGCAACCTGCAGTACTGACAGCGGTTTCGATGGTGTTTATTGATAACACAGTCTTTCGATCCTCTACATGAATACACTAAATTTTTTCGGATACTTCTTTTAAAGAATCCTTTGCAACCTTCACAAGTTACTGCCCCATAATGACGTCCTAGAGACAAAATGTTTAAGAAAATACAAAAATCACATATTTTAAGACAGTAATGAAATACACCCATTACTTCCCTTTAAACAACAAAAATATGAGATGAAACTGTGAGATTTTTGAGTTTATGGCAAACTTTTTTTAAGAGTCAATAAACAGAGAACGAAACAACTATGTTCTCTGACTAATTAAACAATATGAGTTTTTTAATTTTATAATGTGATCTTAACAAAGGCATGGAAAATTTGTGAAAGAGAACAAAAGAACCTATAATCCCATTATTTAACATAAAAATGATTTTCTCTTCTGATATCAACTAGAAATTATAGTTTTGTTGTATATTGTAGAGTAGGTGTTGTATTTTCAAAACTGTGCTCCAGAAAAAAGCATAAAATTTCAGCTAGTATTTCAAAAATAGTAATTCCTTCTAATTGTGAATTCTACTTTTGAAATTTCTGAAGAAGTCTGTTACACTTTGGTCATTTCCCAACCATTTCTCTTGTGCACTTATTAACAAATGGAACATAATCTGGGAAAAGCTCTAGGGGAGGTCTTTGTAATGAAGCTTGGAAAATATCGAAGATTAAAGAACACAAACTATGCCCTTAAACTATATCCCACTGGCATTTATGAATAGGAGATACACACACACACACACACACCACACACACAAGTGGACATGGGCATGCACTCCTGATATGAAGTAACTAAAATGACATAACCCTGAGTGCTAGTAATACACTTTGAGAATGTCTGCTCAGTCAGCTATGGAGAGCATTACATAAGGCTAACCAGAGTTTTTTCCAACCTCAATAATTCAAGTTACTCTGTATTCCAAGAATAAGAACAGGGTTTAATGTTATATATTATTAAGAATTACAACTCATTTTTAAATGATTCCTTTAACAAAACTCCTAGTTTTCACATTCAAAATATTTTCCATGTTTACTTTTAAAAAGCTAAACTATTTTTCTTAATTCTTTGAAATACGTATTTTGTGTCATTACAAAATCCATTTAAATGGCATTAAAGTGAGAAAATATCTTTAAGTGAATAAAAAAGCTTTGGGGGAAAATCCATCAAATTTCATAGGCTACAAATATAAATATATTTCCCATAAAAATGATGTACTCCTTTACTTTTCTTTTCATTTTTAGTAGAAGAAACATGGTAGTCGGGTAGTTATTTTAACAACACACATACAAGGTTGTTTTTAATGTTACCTGAGGCTTTGTCTCCACATACTACGCAAAGATCAAAAACCTTATTTGGCCCCTGGTCGGGGGAAGAATTATCTGTTAAAAGCTAGGAAAAAAAAATTCTGGTTACTTAATAACATTGTTGCTCTGTCAAAAAATTAAAAGAACATTCAGTCAGTCTTGCTTTTTACTTTATTTCTTATAAGTTATTCTTAAACTTTTAACTATTATTATGTACATTTTATAAACTAGTCCTTATTTTTCTGCCAAGTCTCATTAACGTAATCAGACTGTTCAAAACACAAATACGTGATTTTCAATGCATTCCACCCATTAAACATTAAATATTATTCATATGGAACACGTTAAATTATTGCAGCAGTTATCAGTCCTATTATGACATTTGTCTTTGAAGATCTCAGAATTTTTCCACATGGAATGACATGGCTAAAATAAACTGTAACAGTATGAAAAAATAATTGAATTTTTTAAATAGAAAAGGAGTTATAAAGAAAAAGGTTCTACTGGCATAATTAATTATAATAATGAAAATATGATTACTATACAAAAGTTGAAACTTTTCATGAATAAGTTGTCTAAGATTTGGGTTACGTACAGTACTTGAGAACACAGATGCAGTCTATGAAGGGTAGCAAGTCAGCCATCAAAATTGGGACTAAGTGGGGTAGCCTTGAGCAAATTACTAAGCCTATTTAAATCATATAAAGAGCTCCTCATTAAACCTAACTAATATGATCCTGGCAAAGGTATACTAGTTCCTTCTTTAGGCTATACTTCAACCTTCTCATCACTTTCTTTCAATCTTTGAAAACATGAACAAAGTATCAATTCAATCCAAAAAAATATGATATGGCATTTAGTAAACACCTTCCCCTCTGCAGTAAAACAAATGAAGTAAAATCCTCTACTTTGACTCTTTCTTCACTTAGTGGTATGAATGCATTCAGGATTAATTCTGATTTTTAATACTTCAAATAGTCCTTGAGATGACTATCCCTTACTAGGCTATATATAGTATCATTTCTTTTTAATCGCCACAAAAATCAGTCTTTTAATACATACGGGGGAGGGGGTGTGGGGGACTGCTGGTATTAGATGTACTTTGAAATCATCCATAAGTATCACGTCTTCCCTTAACAGCATACCTATTGCCAATGATGCCAAGCTCTCCCCTTTGTTATTAAGGGTAGAAGAGATTTTGAGAGGTTAAGGGACTTGCCCACATCTCGTTTTAGTTCACCAGACCAGAAATCAAATCATCTGATTCCTGGTCCAGAGGAATTCCATCCTACACGTTTCTCTTTTCTTACCATAGAGATGAAACACAAAGTAGGCCAAGTATCAATATCTTTATTATAAAAAGAGAAATTTATTTAAAAAGAGCAGCTTTACAGTGAAGAAAACCTGACAAACATTACTTCAGTTAAATGATCAAAGTCAATATCAGTAGTCATAAATCATGTTGATCATATGTACACTCAATACAATGTAATAAAATGGCATTTTACCTCTGTGATTTTCTTCCCAAAAACCCATAACCCCTGTCTAACCATAGAAAAACATCAAATCCCCATAATGGGGTATCCTACAATAAACTTATCAGTACTCCTCAGAACTGTCAAGGTCATCAAAAACAAGGAAAGTCTGAGAAACTGTCACAGCCAAGTGAAGCCTATGGAGACATGGCAGCTAAATGTTTAATGTAGTATCCTAAATGGGATCCTAGAACAAAAAAAGAACACTAGGTAAGTTGAAAAACACTATTGACTTTAGTTAATAATAATGTTGTTGTGTGCTGTCGAGTTGATTTCAATTCATAGCGATCCTACAGGACAGAGTACAACTGCCCCACAGGGTTTACTAGGCTGAAATCTTTACAGGAGGAGATCACCAAGTCTTTTCTCCCATGGGTTTGAACACCTGACCTTTCGCTTAGCAACCAACCACTTGACCATTAGCCACCGGAGCTCGTTTTTTAGTTAATAATAATATATCAATATTGGTTCATAAATTGTAATAAATGTACCATATTAGTATAAAGTGTTAATAATAGGAAAACTGTAAGAGCTCAGCTGCTACTCCAAAAGGTCTACAGCTCGAATCTACCAGCCACTCCTTGGAGATCCTATGGGGCAGTTCTACTCTGTCCTATTGGGCTACTATGAGTTGGAATCAGGTTTTGGTACACGTAATATGGGAACTCTGTACTATCTGTTCAATTTTTCTGTAAACCTAAAACTTTTCTAAAAAATGAAATCTATTAATTTAAAAAAACAAATTATACATGTCAAATACTTTTTTTGGTGACTTCTGTCTTATTGATAAGACAACTTCTTATAAATCTACAACTATGGCTTATTCATTTTCTATCTTAGCAGTTTCTAAAAACAATACAAATGACGTGATTGGAAGAATGACTCTATCAGGATACACAGACAGAATTTCATATTTTATGCATATTTCAGGATTAGAAGTTTTTCAATCCAAAAAGGAAATTTCTTGAATCAGTTTTTCATCACAAATCATGCAACACAATTTTAAGTGGGCACTCCTCTATAAGTCTCTGAAGGCAAATTTAAGGGTGCACTGTTATTTGTATGCAAGCATAGCAACCAGCAATGAAAATACCTTCATATAACCACAGGCATGCAGCGTGTAAAAGCCATAACTGGCTCTTTGAAGAATAAAGTATAACTAGCAAAGATTAAAATTATGTAAATTGAATCTATACCGACTCAGTTCCAGTGTAAAGCCTGAGGAAGATGCTGCAGACCACGAAGCAGACTGTTTTCTATGTCAATGATGACATGAGTGACAGTAGAGGAGGCACAGCACTGAAGCTATAGCACTGACTTCTTGATTTGGCAACTTCCTGTTTGTGCCACAGGCAGGCAAGTACTGGGAACTACAGGTACAGACACTGCTCTTGTTTTGACACAGTTCCCCAACTGCACAGAAGCAGCAGGTCTCTTAGAAGCCAGTTCTGCAACACGCTCCAGTAGTTATTCTTGGAAGCCTAGCCTAGGACTTTCTCTTCAGCCTTTCCAACAACTCTGTGAGGTACCTACATGCCTTATTAAACCCCTTCCTGTTCAAACTAGCCAGAGTGGATCTTACTGTCTGCAACTAAAAACTCTCCAAAATATGGGTGTAATGTTGTGTGAAAACTACAGTGGCCCATAGGAAAACAGCCATCGCCACAGATACTCTACACAGCACACAATTTTATGCGGTTTTTTTCCTACTGAATATGCATACATGTAAGGTCTTAATAGGCAAGACTTACACTTATGCTTTTACATCTTTTTTAAATTATAAGATGAAAAGCTATTTCTGCAGTTATTTACCTGGAGGTGTTGTGCAGACAAATCAGGAGTTGTAAAAAACAACTGGTTGACCCCTGCTGCATCTGGAGTTGTGAGAAAAACTTTTCCTGGAGTGGAATCTTGTCTGGCCAGTATGACTTTGCTTGGAGTAGAGCCATCGTGATTTGTCAGAATGAACTGCTTGCCTTGTGTATTATGATCAAGTCCTGTCACGATCTGGATCTTCTGGCCAGTTTGCTGCTCTGTAACAATCTAACACAATCACGTCTAGTTAGTAAATTCAATTTTTTTCCCTTATAACACAATTTTCTAATCTCTTCAGACAAAGCTACATAAGCACACCATTACATACATATTCAATATAACACAACACACACACATCTTTTGAAGTAGCAATTGTACTTCCACAAAATTCCATCCTACAGAAATAAATAAATATGCAAGTAAATTAAGGTACAATAATAAGAACATTTTGACCTCACTATTTTGATTCCTTTTTTCCCTCTTTCTCCCTCCTTCCATTTCGGAAGAAAGGCCTTAGACAAACATATATTAAGCACATTCTATTTGCCAAGCACTGTTGTGGGTCCTAGGATATAGCAGTGAGCAAAACAAAATCACTGCTCTCATGAAGCTTTCGTTTTAGTGAGGAAAGACACATAATAAACTAATAAGTAAACAATAATATTGTCCGGTGGTATTAACTGTTAGAAGAAAAATAAAGCAGGGTAAGGGGTGTGTGTGTGAGAGAGAGAGAGACAGAGTGAGGTCTAACAGGAAAGCTCTCTCTGTGGAGATGACATTTTTGGACAGACCTGCAATTTGCACAGACTGAGGTTTAGGACTACCAAGGAAGAGCATCCCAGGCAGAGGAAACAGAACATAGAAGACAGCTCTGGGGCATAAGGGAATGTATTTGGCATATTTGAGGCATGAGGCACAGCAAGAGAGCTATGTGACTGAAACAGAGTTGAAGAGGGGGGTATAGTAAAACGGATCTGAGTGACAGCTGCAGGTCAGGTCATATAGATTTCCTACTGTGTGAAATGGAAAGGACCAGAGGATTTGGAACAAAGATTGGCAGGATCTTTAGTACCATGCAGGGAGTGAAAAGCAACTGGATTTGGGAGTTTTTGAAGGTAGAGGTGATAAGACGTACTGATGAAATGGAGGTGGACTATGAAGAGAGAAGAGTCAAGGAGGACTACAAAATTTTGGCCTGAGCAACTGGGAAAACAAATGCCGTGTACTAAGACAGGGTAGACTGGGGAAAAGCAAGTTCACCAATATATAGAACTACCCCAGCATTGAGGGTTTTTGCTGTTGTTGCTGAACAAAGACTTTCCAGAGAAAATTTACTATGCCAGTTTAATCCTATGATTAACTTTTAAAATGGCAAAGTTGATTTGTTTTCCAACTTTTTTTTCCATTTTCATTTTCCTGAAATTATTTTCATCAATATTCTTTTCCATGCAAAATTTAAAACAAAGTTCTGATTCACTAATCACTCTTTGTCTACAGCAAACTGTACTGACTGTAGCATCGGACAATTTGAGTTTTCTTTAGTGACCATTATTTCTACCATGTCCTATTTTTCTGACTGCAGTTTTAATTATCGTCAATTTTATCTTACATAGGTTATTTCTATCAAGTTCGGTTTCCACCATCCCGACAATTTTTAATGTTACTTATAAGATATGACTTTGAATCAGTTCATCTATAACAAATTTCACCATGTATAGTTTAAGCTGTTGCCAGTTTTATTTTGGATTATTTCTACCACTAATACTCACTGTGAATAAAAGACTAAAAGGTCACTACTTCTTAGAGAAAAGAGTATTAGGTGCATACAGGGTACAAATGTCACTGGGTTGAAACATTCTGCTTAGATGAGTAAAAGGATGTTCACTGCAGTATAATTATAATAATTGAGAATGAGAAAATTGAAATGGTCTTCAATAGAAAAGAACAGTAAACAGACTGGAAGCAGTTCTCAGGATCTCTTTAAATTTGAAAAATTTAGTGAAGGCCCCAAATGGCTTCTGTTTATGTGGGTCATACCTACTTAGAGTTATCACCACCAATTCAAACTAAGGAATTTAAATATTTACTCATTTAAAAGTAACGATAAACTTATGACATCCTAACATAAATAAAATATTTTTATGAAAAATAAGTATATCTTATATACTCATATACCTGTAGTGGGGAGAGTGGCACTGTTTTACATTTTTGCTAATCTCTTTAGTGTCTGGCTTTATAGAAGACAGTTGGAATCTCATATCTGTCTCTGCATTCAATCTGTTACAATATGTCATTTTGGTTAAGGCATATGAAGAAAATCCAGCCTCACATTTATTGGTAGAAAAAGGGAAGAGTATTTTAACAACCTTTTCGGATAAGTATGGAAATTGTTCTTTGATATTACACCAAATTCAACATGTGATGTTTTAAAGGTTAGTTGCAATGTAGAACCCAAAGTCATATTAAAATCCATTAATCTATCCTGCACTTTGAAAGGATCCTTTAGTCATCCAAGATTTTCTAACATCATACATTGGTCATTCGGAAAACAACAGTTCACTGAACTATGCAGACCTTTTAAATGTTGACACATTTCATCATACAATACTATCAGATGATACTGATAGCCTCTGGAAAATTCCACTGTACACTTGGGAGAAGATGGAAATGAAAATGGCAAATAACATTTTAGTAGTCTCAGAAAAATGGTTTTGCTCTTGCTGGCTCTCAAAAGAGCCCCTAGATCATATACTTTGAGAACCTCTAGATTATGGTACCTCTTACTAAGAAATATGGAGCCTTACTGGAGCAGCAGGAGCCCTGGTGGCACAGTGGTTAAAGTACTCAGCTGCTAACCAAAAGGTCAGCAGTTCAAACGCAGCAGGCACTCCATGGGAGAAAGACGTGGCAGTCTGCTTCCGTGAAGATTTCAGCCTTGGTAACTCTACGGGGCAGTTCTACTCTGTCCCATAGGGTCACTATGAGTTGGAATCAACTCGAGAGCAGTGGGTTTGGTTTTTGGTTTGGAGCAGCGTGGTGTTTAAAGTGCTCGGCTGCTAACTCATAGGTTGGTGGATTGAACCCAGCAGCTGCTCCACGGCAGAAAGATGTGGCAGTCTGCTCCCATAAAGATTACACCTTTGGAAACTCTAAAGGGCAATTCTCCTCTGTCCTATAGGGTCGCTATGAGTCAGAATCGACTCAATGACAATGGATTTTACCAAGAAATAGTACGTAACCATTTAAAAAATGAAGACTTGTTTGCCTTAATATGGATTAACTCCTGCCGGTCAACATGGCCTCAAATTTCATGCTCTCCAAAAAACATGCCCTAACCAGGTTCCCGACGCCATTCCCCACCCCCTCCTATGACTCTTTATTAGCTGTTTTTCTTCTGTGCTATTGTAACACCCTTTATAATTATCCATCACAGCACTTACCATATTTTACTGTGATGGTTTGATTATTCAACTATCTCTCAGGAGACAGAAAAGCGACTTGAAAGTCACGGATATCTTTAATCTCTGTATTGCCAGAACACAGCATATACACTTAATGTAAGTAGTAAAAATTCGGTGAGTCAAGTGAATGAGATGTAAGATAAGCATACCTCTCCCATCTGTTGTTCAATAATTTGATGTGCAATTTCTTCTATGGTTGCCATGATCTAGATGCCAAAATGTCCTGCCAAAAATAAAGTGATGGTTTTTCAAAATTATATCCATAAAGACATACTTCTTGAGTAATTTACAAATAAAATTATATGATTTGCTTCAAAATAATTCAGATGGAATGGTTAGGAGTGAGAGGAAATAGATAAAACAACATTGGCTATATGCTGACAATTGTCAAAAGTGGTAAAGCTTTTGCAGGGGTTCATGAAACTATTCACTCTAGGTTTGTATATTTTCAAAACTTCTATTAAAAAAAAAAAACAATTATTTAAGACCTAACAATTTCATCTTTCAAAGATATTGCAGCCTAAATAGGAGTACTCTTGATTGATTCAGACCAGCAGTAATAGTATAAATAAAGGGCAGCTCTAATTGCAAACAAACTCATCACTCTGGTCACTTAACACACCACCCTTTTATCACTATTTTGTGAAAACTGACAAAATAATTGCATTCATTCAGAAGTACTGAAAAATCCTCTAGAATTTTATGATTGTTCTTCATTAATGGTAGTTTCTTACACATTAAGGTTAATATAAATTTAATGCATAGTTATCTCCAAATGGACCTAAGAACCTGTAAGATTACTAGACTGACTATGACTTTTGCTTTTTCTTCAAATCATGTAATCAAGAACATCAAAACTGTATGTGACTTTATCATATTTCATATCTTCACTAATATTTTGTAGCTATAATTAATATTAACTACCAAATGATCTGAATTGTTTTTCTTTTGATTACATAAAAAATTTTAAATGTGTCAATTAATTGTACTAAAAGCAATATTTAATCTTCAATTTACCAAAGCAAAATCAGGACTATGCATTTATATCAGATTATGCTAACTAAATGAAGAGCTTACCATTTTAAGAGTATGAATATAATGGTTTTAATAATTTTTCTTCCACTGCCTATGATAAAGCAACAGAATGAAACACTCTTTCACATGTCCTTTCTTCGTCAATTAGGATAATTTCTGATAGACCCTTACAGTTCCTTTGGCAGCTACTGTCAGTTGCTGTGGAGTTGATTTCAACTCAGAGACCCCATGTGACAGAGTAGGACTGCCCCATAGGGATTTTTAGGCTGTAATCTTTACAACAGCAGATTGTCCAGTCTTTCTCCCATGAAGCTGCTGGGTGGTGGCTAGCAGTGCTTAACCTCTGTACTACCAGGGCTCCTTTCCTTTAGCAGCTAAAAAAAACAAACCAAACTCGATGCCATCGAGTTGATTCCAACTCATAGCGACTCTATAGGACAGAATAGACCTGCCCTATAGAGTTTCCCAGGAACAGCTGGTAGATTAGAACGGCTGACCTTTTATGTAGCAGCCAAGCTCTTAACCACTGTCCACCAGGGCTCCTCCTTTAGCAGCTAGTGGATGCTAATTATCAGGTAAGGAGCAAGTAATTAGAGAATGACAAAGATATTATAACTGAAGTAAAAAAAAAAAAAAGTGTGCCTACTGTCCACCACAAATGCATAATTTAAGCATCATTTCTCCATCTTCAGTCAGTCTGATTTCATCAGTTTTGTGAAGTTTGTATTTCGCTTCCAACACTTGGCTCTGTGACCTGAAGAAAGTCATTTAACATTGAGTCTCAGTTTCCTTAATGGCCTAATAATCCCAGAGTGTGAGACAGTAACTAAATAATGTATGCAGAAGTGCCTTCTCAACTGTCAAGCACTATATGAAACGTGACTTATCTTTATTTGTTGTTAGGTGCTGTCAAGTCATTTCTGACTCACAGCAACCCTATGTACAACAGAACAAAACACTGCCTGGTCCCATACCATCCTCACAATTGTTGCTATGCTTGAGTCCATTGTTGCAGCCACTGTGTCAACCCATCTCTTTGAGGGTCTTCCTCTTTTTCACTCATCCTCTACCTTACCAAGCATGATGTCCTTCTCCAGGGACTGGTCCCTTCTGATAATATGTCCAAAGTACGTGACATGAAGTCTTGCCATCTTCGCTTCTAAGGAGCATTCTGGCAGTACGTCTTCCAAGATAGACTTGTTCATTCTTCTGGTAGTCCATGATATATTCAATATTCTTTGCCAATACCATAATTCAAAGGCATCAACTCTTCTTCGATCTTCCTTATTCATTGCCTAGCTTTCACATGCGTATTAGGTGAATGAAAATATCATGGCTTGGGTGTTTTTTTTTTTTATCTCTTACAATACATAGAAAAAAATAAGAAATTCAACTTTTCAAATAAGAATGAAGATTTTGAGTTCTAATCACTATTAAAAGTATCTTTCTTAAAGATGGAAAGAACCTACATGCCCATCAATAGATGAACGGATAAACAAACTATGGTACACGTACTCACAATGGAATACTACATAACGATAAAGAACAATGATGAATCTGTGAAGCATCTCACGACATGGATGAATCTGGAAAGCATTATGCTGAGTGAAATAAGTCAATCACAAAAGGACAAATATTGTATGAGACCACTACTATAAAAACTCATGAAAAAGTTTGAACACAAAAAGAAACAATCTTTGATGGTTACAAGGGAGGGGAGGGGTGGGGGTGAAAGACACTAAATAGACAATAGCTAAGTGGAAGCTTTGGTGAAGGGTAAGACAGCACACAATACTGAGGAAGCCAGCACAACTTGTTTAGGGTAAGGTCATGGAAGCTCCATGGAGAAATCCAAACTCACTTAGGGACCGAATTACTGGGCTGAGGGCTATAGGGATCATGATCTTAGGAAACAACTAGCTCAACGGGCATAACATAGTTTATAAAGAAAATGTTCTATATTCTACTTTGGTGAGTAATATCTGGGGCCTTAAAAGTCTGTGAGCTGCCATCTAAGATACTCCACTGGTCTCACCCCTTCAGAAGTAAGGGAAAATGAGAAAAAACAAAAGACACAAGGGAAAGATTAGTCCAAAGGACTAACAGACCACAACTACCATGACCTCCACCAGACTGAGTCCAGTACAACTAGATGGTGCCTGGCTACCACCACTGACTGCTCTGACTGAGATCACAACAGAGGGTCCTGGACAGAGTTGGGGAAAAATGCCGAACAAAATTCTAACTAAAAAAAAAAAACCAGACTTACTGGCCTGACAGAGACTGAAGAAATCCTGAGAGTATGGTCCCCAAGACACCCTTTTAGCTCAGTAATGAAGTCACTCCAGAGGCTTACCTTTTAGCTGAAGATTAGACAGACCCATAGGACAAAACGAGACTAAAGGGGCACAGCAGCCCAGGGGCAACGACTAGAAGGCAGGAGGGGACAGGAAAGCTGGTAATAGGGAACCCAAGGTCGAGAAGGGAGAATACTGACATGTCATGGGGTTGTTAACCAGTATCATAAAATAAAATATGTACTGTTTAATGAGAAGCTAGTTTATTCTGTAAACATTCTAAAGTACAATAATAATAATAATTTTTTTTAAAAAGGTATTTTTCTTAGTTCCAAATTTCCTGCTGTTTTCAATATTGTAAACAATGGCTTGCAACTTTCGATTTATTGCATTCAAAACCTAAAAAAGAAAGTTTCATTATCAAAAGCTAATGGTGGTACATCACATCCAGATTATTTCATTTGGTTTTGATACTTTGGTTATAATATACTTACATTAAAAATAAGCATAGGCCTTGTGGTCAAAGCCCTTGTCAATTACTCCCACTGTCTTAGTTATCTGGTGCTGCTATAACAGAAATACCACAAGTTGGTGGCTTTAACAAACAGAAACTTATCTTCTCACTGTTTAGGATGCCAGAAGTCTGAATTCAGATGTGAATTCAGAATGCCAGCTCTAGGGGAAGGCTTTCTCTCTCTGTCGGCTCTGGAGGAAGGTCCTTGTCTCTTCAGAGCTTCTACTCCTCTGCTTGCTAGCTTCTGTTTAATCTCTTTTATATCTCAAAAGAGAGACTCAAAATACATCCTACACTAATCCTGTCTCATTAATATAACAAAGACAACCCATTCCCAAACGGGATTATAACCATAGGCGTAGAAGTTAGAATTTGAAAAACACATATTTGGGGGGAACACAGTTCAATACATAACACACACCCGTAAAAATAGTTTTGTTTTTCTCATTACGAAAATGGTTATTAAAAAAAAAATTCATTAAAGCAATGCCAAGATGGTGGAGTAGTCAGACACTTCTTGAGGTCTCTCTTACAACAAAGACCTGAAAAAACAAGTGAATGGATTATATATGACAATCTAGGAGCCCTGAACATCAAAGACAAAGTTGAGGAGTCGGACTGAGCAGCAAGGGGAGGGAGACACAGTTCAGAAGCAGCGAGGACTTTCCAGACCTGACTTGGCCGGCACCCTGCAGGCTGGATCAGCCGGTGAGCACGGGCAGAGGTAAGCAGTAGCACCTGGGTTGTGCTTTACACACCGGGAGAAACCAAGCAGGGGAGAGTCTGCACAAGACTCTGGAACCAGGCGGAAGTGGCACTGGATCTGACAAAGCTAAGTGCAAGTGTCTAACCTACCACACGGAATAAAAAAAAACCCTCCTCCCTCTGGGAAGTACCTCTGTCCCATTCACCCGGCCCCTTCCCACTCTGCTCCAGTCCTGGTCCGGCTTCAGTGATTGCCACGCCCCCTGAGCCATGAGACCCATCATGCGCCTCAAGCCATTTTCCTGGCTTTGGAGAGATAACAAACTAACAGACAAATAATAAACAAGAAAAAATAATGCGCTAACTCCCCTAAGCCAGGACCTCAGGGCAGGCACAGCCCCTTTGCCTAGGCACAGGCGTAAGGGATACATGAACTATGACTGCCTTTCACCTCTGCCTAGACCTGTGTGAGCCCATTTCAACAGCACAGACCCTCATTAGCAAAGTACAACAGGGCATATACCTGAAGTCTACTTTCAATGGCAATAGCTAAAGGGGAGTGGCAAATTTGTGACATTTGACACTGCCCTGCCCATTAAGCAGAGTCCTAACCTACCCACATCAGGGGCCTGAGGACTGGTGCCTCCACCCACTCAACCTAGCCACCTACGATAGAGGTCTGAGAATAAATGGTGCCTCCCAGTCCTTACAGCCAACAGCACTGGGTGCCCAAAGTCCAGCTGCAAAACACACCAACCTACATGCAATAGGGAACATGGAAATGCCTTCCAACCAGGCACTCAGGGGCAGCCATCAGCCCCTTACCTTGCTTAGAACATAATCCTCTACTGTCGCCAGATACCCGTGCCTGCTCCAATCACCCCTATGTAGCCCTGCTTGTCTAGGACTGTAGGTGAGAGCCTGTACCATGCACTCAGTGACTGACAACCTGGACACCTGAGCTGAATCAACACAAGAAAAGTAAACGGACTCCTGGGCCCACATACCTAGTAGGAGCTCTAACCACCTGGTGAAAGGATGTGAGAGCTTCAAAGACACCAATAAATCAAAGTAGCTCACATGACCAGTCTATTTGGGCATATCAAAACAAAACAAGAAGACAGGACACGGTAAGCAAACATAAAATAAATAACTTATTAATGGCTCAGAGACACAGACAGTATCAAATCACATAAAGAGGCGGACCATGATGGCTTCAGCAAGCAACCAAAACAAAGAACTAGGAAAACTTCCAGAGAAAGAACAGGTCTTGGAATTACCAGAGGTAGAATTCAAAAGATTAATATACACAGCTCTTCAAGAGATCAGGCGAAATGCAGACCAAACCAAGGAACACACAGACAAAGCAACAGAGGAACTGAAGAAGGTTATACAAGAACCAGATGACAAAATGAACAGGCTGCAAGAATCACAGAGAGACAGCAAACAGAAATCCAAAAGATTAACAATAAAATTTCAGAATTAGACACCTCAATAGAAAGTCATAGGAGCAGAATTTAGGCAATGGAAGGCAGAATTAATGAGATTGAAGATAAAGCACTTGACATAAACTTATTTTAGGAAAATCAGACAAAAGAATTTAAAAAAAAAGAGAAACACTAAGAATTATGTGGGACTCTGTCAAGAGGAATAACCTACGAGTGACTGGAGTACCAGAACGGGGGGGATAACAGAAAATACAGAGAACTGTTGAAGATTTGTTCGCAGAAAACTTCCCCGATAACATGAAAGATGAGAAAATATCTATCCAAGAAGTTCATCGAACGCCACACAGGGTAGATCTCAAAAGAAAGTCACCAAGACATATTACAATCAAACTTGCCAAAACCAAAGATAAAGAGAGAATTTTAACAGCAGCTAGGGATAAACAAAAAGTCATCTACAAAGGAAAGTCAGTAAGACTAAGCTCTGACTACTCAGCAGAAACCAAGCAGGCAAGAAGGCAATGGGATGACATACATAAAGCTTTGAAGGAAAAAAACTGCCAGCTAAGAATTATATATTCAGCAAAACTGTCTCTCAAACAGGATGGCGAAATTAGGGCATTTCCAGATAAACAGAAGTTAAGGGAATTTGTAAAAACCAAACCAAAATTACAAGAAATACTAAAGGGATTCCTTTGGTTAGAGGAAAAATAATATCAGATAACAACCCAAGACTGGAACACAGGACAGAACAACCCATATATCAACCCAGATAGGGAAATCACAAAAGTAAGTCAAAGCTAAAAGACTGTAAATAGGGAAACAGAGATGTCAATATGTAAAAGATGACAACATTTAAAACAAAAATGAGGGACTGAATAATGTAGCCATAGAATTTTCACATGGAGAGGAAGTCAAGGTGATATCAAGAAGTAAAAGATTTGGTTTAAACTTAGAAATATTCAGGTAAATTTTAAGGTAACCACAAAGGAAACTAACAATCCTACATATCAAAATAAAAAACAA